GTCACAGGCCGGCCTTAAAGGCCCGTTTCTAGAAAAAACACAAAACAAAGCAAGAAAAAGCTCCATTCTGAATCTAAGCAGACCTTTGTCATGTTGGAAGCTTCAGAGCGTTTCCCCCTCTTCCTTTAATTGTGAAGTTTTATCTGATCACACAGAGATGAACCCAGTTCACCATAAACCAGTTCACTGTTTAGACTTCAGCTCTTCAGACTTATTGTTGTGCTTCTTCCAGCCTGATCCACTCAGGGACAAACACACTAATACTCAGACGGATGCTCCAAAGGCAAACTGGATCCAAGTCTGTTTTTATTTTGTAAAAAAGTCATATTTACAGACAGGCCTTTCCTCTGAAACATTCAGGACCAATATGTTGGATAGATTGGATCAAAGTTTCCTATTTAAGGCTATTTTTCACAACCAAGCTTTAAATTATCCTTTGCAAAGTGGAGAAATTTAAAAGAAATTAAAATAATCAAAATTCAATTAGAATAATTACTCTCTGTAGAGAGCCTCGAGATGAATCGGAGCCATAAAGAAACTGAATTGAATTATTTGATGACAAAGAAAAATTTTATGTTAAGTTATAAACATGAACCTGAGAAGAAAGGAATATTTGACTAAATCATAAAGATAAGATCACAGATTCTGTGCTGAGACCGATGAGGATCAGTGTTTACTCACCATAAATAGTGAATGCAGAAACTCAAACAGTCTGCAGTGTAGGGCTTTACCTTTTATTATTTCTACTTAAACACTATTTCACAAAGTGTTGCAACACCGCCTGCATGACAGTAAAGCTTTGTTCTGTATTTTACTGAGATGCCTGATGAAGTCTGCAGAACTTTACTCTAAGAAATCACGATTTTGATGCTTAAAAAAAGAGTTGTTAAAAAACTATCTTATTATTAGTAGTAGTATTGTTGTTGTCATTTATTTTTGTGTCCTATGCGCCAATTCCTCCAAGTCCAAATTTTATTTTAGTGCCTTATTACCAGATATATTAGAAGTTATATTGTTATTATATTAATTACTGTCATTATTGCTATTTTTAATATGTTTTTTATTTTATTATTTTTACTAATTATTGTTTTTATTATTTGATCTTTTTTGGAGCCTCTTCTCTGACATCAGGCCCGCGGTTTGCGCGCTCCCGACGTGTCTGCCTCGGTTGGTGCGCGCTTAGTGTTGGGATAATTAGCGGATAATTCCTGGATGATTGGAGTCCTTTCTGCTGCTGGGCGGTGAGCGCGTGACGGACAGCCTGGGATCAAAGCTGAAGCGGCGGAGGTTAGGCCGACAGCGAGCCGCGCGCAGCGCCTCGTTCTCCGGCTGCAGGCCCGGCGGGAAGCCGCGGCCTGCGGGACAAGTCACTAAATCTGTCCACGAATAACAGACTTTCTGTTTAACAACAGAAAACAACAACAGGCGTGTTATATTTCAATTCGACATAAACGAATAAAATCTAAAAACTAATTTGAAATAAATAAAGAGCGGTTTTTCGACCAACGTCCAAATGTTGACCTTTCACCCCGCTGCTTCCTCTGCTGTTTATTATCAATCCTCCACCTTCCTCTGCTGGAGCTGCTCCATTATGGAACCTCATAAAGCTGAAGCTTCACCTCTGTTTGCAGAACATAAAGTTGTTGGTTCAGTAAATTCTGATGGTTGATGAAACATGAACAGAAACAGATGAACGGTTCCGATCCAGTTGGGTTTCAGTGGCCCGGTTCCCAGGGCTGCGTCCTCCATCCCTCAGCGCTGCGTCATGTTGTTCTCCTGCAGAGGTTCGGTTCGTCCAGTTTGGACCTTAGGAACCGCCGCTGATGGCAGCAGGAAGGCTCGCCTCATTACCTGCTTGTTGTCAAGGAAACGGACTCACCTCCATCATATTTTAGGATCAAAAGTCCCTTCTTTTCTCTTTTTAAATATGAGCAACAAAACAGGAAGTTTATTTAGGTGGAATTTAACTCTTTATTTTATTAATATGAAATAAAGTCCATCTATTAAAATAAATGAAGTTCACTTTACTCCACAAATAATTAATAAATAGCTACATCCCAGTTTGACCTCTGTTATTAAAGCCCTGAATATTATTGATTAATGAGAATTTTTTGTAGTGAAGCCCTTTTCTATAATCCTGCCACTGATATGGACAATTTTTATTTTTTTGGATTCTGTGGTTGGATTATTTTGAAATTTTGTAATAACAGAAATCCTTTACAGCTTCTAGTGGATAAAAAGGTCCGATTAATTCAGAATCAACAAGGTTTAAAACTTAAAAACCAGCTGAACCGTAAAATGTTGTTTTCCAGGGAAAATAACTGGATATGAACAGAAGCTTTTTGGCTAAATCCCTGAACCCACCTGGATAAAAATGATAAGATGTTAGTTTATTAGCTAAGAATTTAGCAGCGTTCGTATTCCTGTTTTCTTTTTAAAAGTCATTTATACTAAATGAATCAGTTTGCTTATTAATCAGCTTTAAATGGCACAACATCAGGTTTATTGACACCTTTAAAGAGACCCTTAATCATCAGCCAACAGCAAATGTTTCTTGTATTTGTTTGTTTTATTTGAAAATGACTGAATAAGTTAATAACAAGCATGCAGAGTCCAAAACCCAACAAAGACCAAAAGCACAACTGGGAGGGGGGGTCATAAACCAAACCTAAAGGAAAGGAGAACGGCCCTCATGCACATGGGAACATTTAGGCTCAAACAGGAAGTGATGCAATCAGAAAACATCGACCCAGGATCAAAGGTATCATCAGATCTGAGCGGCGGTTCTGTTTGAAATAAAAAGCTCTGCAGCAGAACCTCAGAACCGGGCTGTCTGGTCTCCTCTGATGGGAGTTTCATTCACATCAAGCCTCCGAAGGATAACTGAGACCCGGTTGTGGCTCTGCTCTGTGGTCCAGTGTCAGAGTGGACCAGACAAAACCAGTCAGACCAGCAAACACTGAGTGGACCTGATGGGCTGGGAGGAAGTTCTGCCTCCACAAATGCAGCGTGAGCACAGACGGCCATGTTGGATTAGTCTCCCAGTTTTGGGTCAGAGACAAAAAAAAAAATGTTTTGATTAAAAACCGACCTGGAAGCAGAGACTTTGCTTCTGCGCTGACGGCATGGAGATGAATAAATGAGAAGGAGTTGAAGCAGAAAAACACAAACATCCTGTCATCTATTAAACACATGGCTGCTGTCTAACTAGAGATGACCTTCATTGGCTAAAGGGAGATATTTACACTGTCTGTGTTTTCCCAGGATAAACGGTTCTGATCCGTTTCTTTCATGGGAATGAGATTAATGAAGAAACGAATTATCGCCTCAATCTGATGATCAAAGACGGGATTTCTCACTGTCCAGTTCCCGATTGTTCCTCCTCATCCTTCAAACTTTCTATTTTTACACAAACTGACCTCTTTAATAAAACCCTATTCATGTGTTTCTCAGGCTGAGAGTCTTGACCCCTCAGGAGGTCAATGGGGATGGAAAGGGGGGCGTGGGAGAAATAAATCCTCATCATGCTCTACAGAGAAATATGGTTTCTGATCCTGGTTTTGGGTGCACTGTGTAAACACCCCTACAATAGACACATTAGCATCTGCAGGTGACCTCTGGCCTCAGGCTGGATGAGGAGCACTGATGTGTCGGGGATCTGACTCTAAACATTTCTGAGCATCTTTAGAAAGATGCTTCTCAGCAGCTTCCCCTTTAGGTTCTTAAAAAGGAGCTTTGCATGATGACGCACCACCAGCATGCTGCTGAACAGGAGCTGAGCTTCCACCTTTCTGCATGTTAGGCTGTTAGACAGAACCGTTGAAGAACCTGTGGGACCGGATGTGATGGAACTAAACTCAGAAACGCTAAAACAAAATCAGGAATCCATGTTTGGATATTATGCATTTGGTGTAGTGATGGAATTTGATCGGCGATTATAACCACAAGATCTCTGGGTTTTTAACATCGTGTTTTCTCCGCTGCACAGAGGTTCTGCATCTGTCACCATCAACAATACACTGTTTCATCATGGGGGGGGGCTTTGAGTTAAACAAAGAGAACCTTTCCTAAGGAGAAACCTACAGTTCCGTTCATCTAGAGATCCCCATCAAACATCAACACCTTGGTTTGCTTTCCCCAAATTACAACCAAGACATTAGAATGCTGACATCTAACGGGGTGATGATAGTCTGACTGGCGAGATCCTGCATTGATGTTTTTTCTGATTCTGGCTCAGTACCAAAGGAGGCCAGAGCTGGGGACGGTTTGAACCGGGCCGTGGGTGTTTGGTCACAGTGAGGGAGTTCAGTTCAGCTCCCTTTAGACCAGAGGTCCAGCACAGCTGCATGCAGAAGGTCCAAACTCCACACAGGGGGGTACATGCAGCAGCTAGGAGGAGCTGTTCAGGAGCGGTCTGGGATACATCCCCTGGTAGTACGAGGCCTCCAGAGGCTCCATGGTCCTCCCTCCAAGACCAGAGGCCCCCCCACCATTGTAGGAGGAGTACTGCAGCGCCTCGTAGGCCTTCAGGTCCAGTTTGTGCTGCTGCTCTGAGGATGACATTAAGTTGTTGATGGAAAACGGGTGGTTAAAGGAGTAGTGGGGGTCTCCTTTGATATGCAGAGCAGTTTCATGGCCCATGGAGTGGGGGGGCAATGACAGGGATGACAGTAAATGAGAACCAGAGACCTTCAGGTCTGACACCCCACCAACTCCGTCCCTCAGGTCCAAGCCGGCGGGGGAGACCGTCTGGCTGGAGGAGGGTCCAGAGGAGTCCAGAAGTCCGGCAGCTTTGGAGGAGTTTTCAGCGGGAGAGGTGCACCGGCCCCCGCCTGCCCCCATGTGCTCCTTCCTCCCATCCGCTTTCCCGGGACTTTTCTTCTCACACTTAAACCTCTTCTGGCGCCGCAGGTAGCAGCCGTTCTCAAACATGTTCCCAGAGTCTGGGTGCAGGGTCCAGTAGGAACCTTTGCCCGGTTTGTCAGGCGAGCGGGAGACCTTGACGAAGCAGTCATTGAAGGACAGCGAGTGGCGGATGGAGTTCTGCCAGCGCTGCTGGTTCTGTCGGTAGTACGGGAACAGGTCCATGATCCACTGGTAGATCTCACTCAGCGTCAGCATCTTACTGGGCGCTTGCTGGATCGCCATGGTGATGAGTGAGATGTAGGAGTAGGGGGGCTTAGCGTGCGGGTAGCTCCGTCTGAACGTCTTGTTGTCTCGGCTTCGGTTCAGTCCGCCGCCGCCGTACGCCATGCCGGAGCCCAGGTTTGGACTCATGCCCCCGTATGGGTTCAGACCCAAAGAAGCCTGCTGGGCCGAAACCGAGTTCATGCTGGACGGGCTCAGAGCCCCGCCCATGGAGGCCATCCCCCCTCCGAGGCCGGACATGGGCGCCGGAGCAGAGCCCCCCATCCCTCCTACAGGGGAGGGACTGAGACCCGTACCGCTGTAGGACATGTTGAAGGAGCCCGATGTAGTCCCGCTGCTCGACATGTAGCCAGACATGGACGTCATTCCCAGACCAGAACCCATCCCGGTACCTGGCATTGGAGAGTACACCTGCAGGGGGCACAGACACAGAGGAGGTCAGCTTTGACTGGAGGGGTTCTACAGAACCGGACCGGACCTGCTTCCTCTGTAGAATCACTGCAAACAGCTCAGTTTGAAACATGCCTCAGATTATCCAGAACCATTTCTGCAAATTTACCCTGAATGAGCAGAAGACAGTCAGACTTACAGAAATTAACTCAATAAAAATCATCTCCAACATAAACCTGATCACAGCTTCTCCCCCAAAGCATGCATGTCAGCTCTAAGGTCCCCCCGACCCGGGTGTTACCCGGACCGGGCTGAAGGAACAGCAGGACTTAATGTGGAGGAGAAGACAGACGGTTTTATTAAATTTCTAAGAAGAAATCTGATCTTAGTTATTTAAAATTCATGTAGCTTGGAAGCAGAAATATTCCAGTTTTTAGGAGCAATTTTTTTTTATTTCCTCCCTTTCTGTCAGATCTTAATCTGATCTGATGAATGGAAACATTTGTTCAAATTATTCATGTTTCCTGTTAGAAATATATTTAAATGTAAAGTCAGAGATAAAATAATTGCTCAAAATGTGACTCATTAAACACGTTTATCTCAAATCAAATTTTTAAAAACAGTTTTATAGTAGGCTAAATAGTTGTTTTTAATTATTTTTAAAACAAAGACTTAATCAGTAAAAATGTATTATTGGCCTGTTAAAGAGTCTGGAGATATTTAGAAATTCTAAAAGTAATTGTACAATTGTTTAACAACAAATTAGAAATACTGAATTTTTTCGTTTTATCCAGGAATCAAATCTACAATTTATGATTAGAATATATAGCCTATATATTTTTTATTTATTATTATTTTTTACAACGAACCTTACATTTTCTTTGAACACTGAAAATAAATAATATAACCTGTTTTGAGCTCTAATTTCACCAAAAATATTACTTCAGTTAATAAAGATAAAC